TGGCTGATCTGTTTTCGATACCCTTCCTAATAATCCCCAGCATAGCATTGGCCTTCTTTATTGCAGTCGCACACCATCTAGACATTTTCATTGAGTTATCTACTACAACTCCAAGATCTCTCTCTTGGTCAGTCTCTGCCAGTTCAGACCCCATCAATGTGTATTTATAGTTAGGATTTTTGGCTCCAATGTGCATCACTTTGCACTTGGCCACATCGAACCCCATTTGCCACGTTGACGCCCCCTCGCCCACCCAGCCTCCAAAGCTGCCATTTCCTCCAGGGGGACTGAGCTCTGCAGCCCAGAGATCGCTTGTGATCCCAGTTCCAAATGTGTTCCGGGCCAGGAGTAGAGGAGGCCTAACCAATTTTGCTCCAGGGCGATGTGCTTGCTGCATTTTTAGACACACCCGGGCTGTTTACAAAGAACAGAACACTGCTTACCTGATGTTTACCTTTGGTGTTCCATCAGGAGCCTCCCGCTTGCATGCACAAACACATAAACCCTCGTTCTTCCAGCCGCTTGCAGCCACAAATATTTATTCATCATATGTGTGTGTGTGCACGCACACATACAGAAAACACTTTCCTTCATCCCCGGGACCGGCCTCTTGAATCCTGTCTCTCTTTCTCTTTGCTTGGCACATTGCAGCTTCTCTCGACTCATCAACAAGCCCTCCCACAAGCCGGTCAGTCAGCTGCCTGCAGCCCAAGACTTAGGGTGCCAACCTCCTGGTGGGGCCTGGAGATCTCTAGGAATTACAACTCATCTCCAGACTACAAAGATCAGTTCCCCTGGAGGGAATGGCTGCTTTGGAGGCTGGACTGCCAGGGCTATTTTGGGGCAGTAATGCACAGGAACGGAGTTCCGGCTGACCCCTGAGTTGGGCACGGCCAGCAGGAGCTCATTAGCATAACAGGCCACACCCAACAGCAGAAACGCACTAGGATTGGCTACATTAGGGATGTGTGGCCTAATACGCAAAGGAGTTCCTGCTACCAAAAAAAGGCCCTGGGTTTTGACAACAAACAAGGTAAACAGAATAAGAAGCAAAAGGTGGGTGTGGCTGGATGACCACACTTCTGGTAACATGGGGTGTGTGGCCTAATATGCTAATGAGCTGTGGTATCAGGGATGTGGCCTATTATGCTAATGAGCTCCTGCTGTTGGGTGTGGCCTATTATGCGGATGAGTTCCTGCTGGGCTTTTTCTACAAAAAGAGCCCTGCTGGGCTCTATGGCAGGGGTGTCAAATATGCAGCCCGGGAGCTGGATCAGGCCCCCGGAGGGCTTCCATCAGGCCCGCAGTGGAACTGGCCGTCTCCTGCTTCCAGTTCTGCTGCTGCTGCATCATAGCTTGCTTCGCCAGACTCTCTTAATCGCTCAGCCATTTCATGTTTCAACCTGGGTCCTCGACTCAGAACTCTGAGCATGAGATCTATGTGGTGAAGGTCAATGAGTCAAAAGTCGGTTTCCAGCTTACAGAGCTAATATTTTAAGCAAGTTTTTATTCTAAGTTAAAAAAAAAATCTTTGTGTCTGTGTCCTTTATAAAGTTTGCATCTCCACTACCTGGCATCACCTTTTATGACACACGTGGTCCGGCCCAACAAGGTCTCATGTATGTCAGATCCGGCCCTCATCACAAATTAGTTTGACACCCCTGCTCTATGGCATTGTATCCATCTGAGGTCCTTCCCCTCCCCTCCCCTTGCCACCGCCGCCCCTCAGGCTCTACGCCCAAATCCCCAGGAATTTTCCAACCGAGAATCGGTAACCCTAAGAACACGGCAACATTACATCCAGGTACACAGCCAGAAATAACATCATGACATTGCAGGACACTGTTCCAGTGTGTCTCTGAGAGGCTGCTTTTTGTAGCGCTTAGGCACGCAGACTTTAATCTGAGAGAACCGGGTTTGATTCCCCACGCCTCCACAGGCAGCTGCTGGTGGGACCTTGGGTCAGTCACAAGTTCTCTCAGAGCTGTTTGTTCAGAGGTACACAGCCAGAAATAACATCATGACATTGCAGGACACTGTTCCAGTGTGTCTCTGAGAGGCTGCTTTTTGTAGCGCTTAGGCACGCAGACTTTAATCTGAGAGAACCGGGTTTGATTCCCCACGCCTCCACAGGCAGCTGCTGGTGGGACCTTGGGTCAGTCACAAGTTCTCTCAGAGCTGTTCTCTCAAGGGCAGTCCTCAGAAGAGCTCTCTCAGCCCCGCCTACCTCACAGGGTGTCTGTTGCGGGGAGGGGAAGGGAAAGAAGATTGTAAGCCGCTCTGAGACACCTTTGGGTAGTGAAAGGCAGGATATAAATCCAGTCTCCTCCTCCTCAGCCTTCTTCTTCTCCTCCTCCCAACTCCAGTCTGCTGGGGTGCCGCCTCAATAAAAGCAGTCACATAACTGTGAACCACTGGTGGGTCTTGCTCAAGAAATCCTGCAGAGCGCCTGTGTGGTAACCTCCCCCCCCCCCGCCCCAGCCCCCCCCCCCACTTCCCTGAACCCACTTCCCTGAAATACATTCTGCGCACGCCCTGAGAAGGCCCACCAGAATGATCCCATTAAGCCCTGGCTCGGCTGCGTCCGACTGTGTTGGTTTCCATTCTCCTCTCCCCCCTCGCCTGCCTTAACCACCCCACTCCACCCACCCCCCCGAAACACAATGACTCAGTCCAGCCTCGCCCGCCGGCCAGGGCAGGAATTCCAGAGCGATGATTCAGCTGGCAGACACACACTCTCCGTGCCTTGCCAAGAGACTGCCAATGGCAGGCCTTTCCACCCGCTTCCCTCACCCGCCCGCCCTTCTCTGTACAAGAGGAAAAGGCCGTTGTTATTTCGTGTTGCTGCCTTCGTGTCCCATTTGTCAACATTATCGCCCTCAAAGCAGTGAAGGAAACCGGAGCTGTGGATGTTTTTCATGAATAGATTTCGGGTCGCCAGCCTCCAGGTGGAGCCAGGAGATCTCCCAGAATTACAACTCATCTCCCCCCCCCCCCCCCCCCCCGCGTGTGAGGCCTCTACACATTGATGTAGTGGTTAAGAGCGCAGACTCTAATCTGGGAGAGCTGGGTTTGATTCCCCCACTCCTTCACATGCAGCTGCTGGTGTGACTTTGGGTCAGTCCCAAGTTCTGTCGGAGCTGTCCTCTCAGGAGCAGTCCTCGAGAGAGCTCTCTCGGCCCCACCTACCTCACACAGGCTGTCTGTTGTGGGGAGGGGAAGGGAAAGGAGATTGGAAGCCGCTCTGAGACTCCTTTGGGTAGTGAAGGCTGGAGTATGAATCCAATCTCTTCTTAGAATCATAGAATGCTAGAGTTCGAAGGTACCTTGCAGGTCATCTAGCCCAACCCCCTGCACTCTGCAGGAGCAGAGCCAAAAGATAGCCCTACGACATACCCAAACAATGGTCGTCCAGCCTCCGCTTGAAAACATCCAGCGAAGGAGCATCCACCACCTTTCATCTTCAGAGCATGGAGCAGGGGTCACTGGGAGTTGCGGGGGGGAGTCTTTGTGGATTTCCCGCATTGTGCAGGGGGTTGGACTAGATGACCCTGGAGGTACCTTCCAACTCAATGATTCTATGATCTCCCGACCACAGAGATCAGTTCCCCGGGAGAAAGTTACTGCTTTGGAGGCCGGATTCTGTGGCCGAGTCTCCTCCCTCCCCTGCCTCCACCCTCAAGAAAAATCTCCAGGAGGTTCCCAAAACGGAGTTGGCGACCCGAGAAAGAAGCCAGGATCAAGCTCAAGAAATGTGCCCGGCTGCTCCCTGCACGCTCTCTGGTGGCAAGCGGAAGCCGGAAGGAGGGAGGGGCTTTCAGATGTGCAAGAGATCCAGACGTGAAGTCCCTCCGCCCAATGCCACGCTCCTCCCAAGGTTAATGCGATGCTCCTCAGCTGGGACTTTGCTAAGAAACCCACTAAAGAAGGGTCCGAGGAGATGAGATGCCACCAAAGTAAGAAGGAGGGTGCTGACAACACCCTCCAGGGTTGCCAACTCCAGCTCGGGAAATCCCTGGAGTGCTGGGGGCGCACACCACTACTCAGAACCAGCCTCTGCATGACTCAAACTGGGGAAGAGGCCACCCAGCTGGAAGGGTGTGGATTTCTTCGCAACCTGGACCTGCGCCTGCTCTCCTTTTAGAAATTTTCCAGTGCCGGAGGGCCACTTCAAAACTGGGCGTGAAAGTCGACCTTCAATGGCCTCTTGCTGCCCCCTAGTGGTGACTATTTCTCATTGCAGGAGTTGGGAATCGTTTACCCACGGCACAACGGGAGTGCACTATGCTCCCCTGCCTTTGCCGCCCTCTGGTGGGTGCATCTGGGAACTGCACACACCTCTATTCAATTCGAGATTCTCCCCAAGAGGGACCGAAAGCGGCTTACATCATTCCCCTCCCCTTTCATTGTATCATCACAACAACCCTGTGAGGTAGGTTAGAGAGCATGAGGATGCCCCGAGGTCGCCCAGAAAGTGTCCATGGCGCAAATGGCCATTCAAACCCATGTCTCTAACCCAACGCTCTAACCACTATCCCTCTACAGAGGCATCCATGTGACATTTATCTTGGGGTATGTGGCACCACGGAGCTGCGGTGGCTCAAGTGGTTAAGACACTGAACTGCAGGCAGTGGAAGGTCAGTAATTCAGCAGTTCGAGACCCGGGTGCCACAAGACGGAGTGAGCTCCCATCTATAGTTCCAGCTCCTGCCAACCTAGCAGTTCGAAAGCAAGAAATTGCAAGTAGATAAATAGATACCACTTCAGTGGGAAGGTAACAGCGTTCCATGCGCCTTGGTGTTTAGTCATGCCGGCCACATGACCACGGAAACATCTTCGGACAGCGCTGGCTCTTCGGCTTTGAAACGGAGATGAGCACCGCAACCCTAGAGTCGGATTCGACTGGCTTTCGAGCAAGAGAACCTTTACCTATGTGGCACCACTCAGAGGATGCTAATGAATTGCTGAGAAGACATGGGACTCTGACACCCTGATTCGGCTCTAGATTTTATTCTAATGCACTTTCAGAGCTGCTGTGCTTTCCTGATGTATTTACCCACAACTGCACCTCACCCATTTGCCGTATCCTTCAGTGTTCTCCCAAAGAGGGAGGAGATGGGCCGTTTAAAAGCCACATCCCCATTCCCGGCCTCCTCAGACACAACACCAGGGTCAGGAGGAACAGCGGAAACGCCAGCAGGTGGCATATGTAGGACCCATTCCAGCCAGCAGGGGGAGCTGGAAGGGTGGCCTTTGTTGGATTGGACTGTGGTGAGAGTAAACGCACATGAACACATGGAGCTGCCTCGTACTGAATCAGACCTTTGGTCCATCAAAGTCAGCATTGTCTACTCAGACTGGCAGCAGCTCTCCAGGGAGGAACAGGAAGTCCGGAAGGGGCGTGGCAGCGGAGATCTTGGTCCCCTCATGCGTGTTACTTCTCTGCGTTCTCCTCCAGCTCTTCCATTGTGAACAAGAGGGAGTTGGCGATTGTGCCCATTAAGTGCCAGTACTCCTCGAAGCCGATCAGCCCGTCTTGATTCTTATCGCAGCTTTGCCTCATTTGGTCGACCGCTTGCTTGTTCTCTGTGTCCTGGAGGCAGGAACAGCGGAAAGACAGGATGAGGTGGGGATGAAAAACAGGAATGAAAGCCCCTTGCCCGAGGCAGGTTGCCGGCCTCCACGTGGCCAAACTGCGTATAAAGGTAAAGGTTCCCTTGCTCGAAAGCCAGTCGAGTCTGACTCTAGGGTTGCGGTGCTCATCTCTTCGGCTTTGAAACGGAGATGAGCACCACAACCCTAGAGTCAGATTTGACTGGCTTTCAAGCCTTTACCTTTACCTTTTTAATGAAGACCTATTAAATAGTAGGCCTTTTCCTTTGTAGGCTAGGGTATTTTTCCAGTTGATGAAGAGAAAAAGAAGAGAAGAGATTGGATTTATACCCTGCTCTTCACTACCCAAAGGAGTCTCAGAGCGGCTTACAAACTCCTTTCCCTTCCCCTCCCCACAACAGACACCCTGGGAGGTAGGTGGGGCTGAGAGAGCTCTTGACAGAAACTGCTCTTTTTCAAGAACAGCTCTTATCAGAACTACGGCTTGCCCAAGGTCATCCAGCCAGGTTCAAGTGGAGGCGTGGGGAATCAAACCTGATTGTCCCAGATTAGAGTCCACGCACGTAACCACGACACCAAACTGGCTTGATGCTAGCAGACAAGACAATAACATTCTTTTGGTATAGAAGATAGGTATAAAGTTCAAGGTTTAGGGTAAAACTTTGCAGTGTCTGGGTTAAAAAGGATTTTAGCTTCATATCAGAAAAAAACACTTTTTGTTTGGGTATAAAGGATCCTTGGCTAATATTATTCAAGTTAGATTAAGTAAACACTTAAGATACTAGGTAGGTACACCTTTTTCCATAATTGACCAATGGGTAGATCATTAGTCAAATGACGCAGTGTCCTTTGTAACCAATTATGCTTTTTGAATGTTGCTTTTAAAAATTATGTCATTTTGAGTATAAATTCTCATGTACTGCCTGATTGTGTTCAGGAAGCAGTCAGTTCTGATGGGCTAGTTTGGCCTAACTGTTTTCAAGTGTTCTGTTGTGATAAAACACTAAGGATCTTCCTCCTCGTTTTGACTTCTTCTTTTTTTTGACTGGGCGCAGGGGAGCTGATCTTGGTCATCCGGAATTAAATTTGTACAGCAACAGCACTGCCTGGTGCACGCAGCTGCTGTGGCCAGAAGGGGTGCTACTGCTGCGCACCATGTGCTTGCGCTTTGCCATCAGTGCTGGGAAACTGGGCACATGGGTGCATGGAAATGGGCAGGGAAAGGCACATGTACAGTTAGGGTTGCCAAGTCCATCTTTGGGGGCGTTCCTGGAGGGGGCGGGGCATCCCCGACATGATGACATCATGTTGGGGACGTCCGCCAACGCCCCCCACCTGCCCGTATGCCGGATCTCCAGTAACAGCAGTTCGCTGCACTTCAAGGAGCCGGTGTTTCCCCTTTAAGAGCAGCCGCGTTTCCCTTTTAAGTACATGAAGCTGGCATTTCCCTGCAAACCTGATCTCAAGTGCAAACCTGATCTCTGCAATTCAAAGACACAACCCTTAGATCCGCCATGTTGACCTGAAAGGTAGGGTATTAGTTATAGCTACTTCCATAGTATAGGGTACTAATGGAAGATCATATCAAAGATTACACACTCTTATAGCTTTTAAAATATAGGAAAAAACCTATCTTAACCCATCTGTACATAGCCCTCCGTAGAGTGCTGTTCCAGCACTTTTCTTGAGAACCAAGAAGATGAATATCTGCAAAACAACTTTAAAGCTACTAGCAAAAATAGTAGCATGTAAACCAATGCCTTTCTTCAAGCAAGTTCCTTTGACTATTTGCGAATTACCCTTATTCAAGAAGGTCAACCCCTTAATAAACTGCCTAAGCAAAGAGAACCTTCGAATGCGAAAATCAAAACTTACAGTTAACCCACAATGAGAACCATTAATTAACCCACCTTCCCCCCCCCTCCCATACCCCAGTAACCTCCTGGTGCGAGACAAGCACTCACACCCATTCCATCCGGAACGAAAAACAAGGTTACTAACCCTAATAACCCAAACCAGTCCGTGTCCATCAAAAGGGTGATTCACCAAGTCCCTTGATGCCCCCCCTCCCCGCCTGGAAAGAAAAAATTACTTAAAAGAACGAACGTACTAAAGATAACAGTTATAACTTCAAGTGCTATAGGAAGACACAACCCTTAGATCCGCCATGTTGACCTGAAAGGTAGGGAAGCTGGCATTTCCCTGCAAACCTGATCTCAAGTGGAGATCGGGCTTGGCAGGAAATGCGGGTTCCACACACTTAAAGGGAGAGAGGGGGGTGGCTGTGGGTGTTGGGGGTGGGGGACCCCAAAAAAACGGGGGGGCCCTGGCAAACTGGGGGGTTTGGCAACCCTATGTACAGTGGCAGGGGAGGTGAACAGCTGGGAAGGTTTGCGTCGGTGGGCCCCATTAGAATCCCTGGGCTCCGGCATCAGCCCTTCCTTAACTCTATTGACTTTTGCACCAGTCGTCGATTTGGATCCTCCACTGTCCCGGCTGCGCCCAGAATTTCTGGGCCTCTCATTGGCTAAAGATGAGGAAGAACTTCCTGACAGTTCGAGCGGTTCCTCAGTGGAACGGGCTTCCTCGGGAGGTGGTGGGGCTCCCCTTCTTTGGAGGTTTCTAAGCAGAGGCTAGATGGACATCTGACAGCCATGCGGATTCTGTGAACTTGGGCAGATCACGAGAGGGAGGGCGGGAAGGGTTGCCTCAGTGCTTAGTTCACGTGGCCCTTTCTTACACGCCCAGGGAAATGCCAATCACCACTTTTGGATCAGGAAGCAATTGTTCTCCAGGCCAGTTTGGCTGGGGATGCTGGAGGTTTTTTGTCATCTTCTGGCCTGGAACAGGGGTCACTGGGGGGGGGAAGGTATTTGTGGATTTCCTGTGTTCTTGCACGGGGTTGGACTAGATTACCCCGGAGGTCCCTTCCAACTCGATGGTTCTATGATTCTATCTCACCGTCAGCATGTGGTGGAGCTCCTGGCTCAGCATCTTCTGGAAGCTGCCCTTGTTGATCCCGCGCTTCCTTCGACAGAAGCCCTTGCTGGCGTACTTGTCGTAGTTCTTCACCAGCGTCTCGATGGCCTCCTCCAGCTCCGAGAGCTGGGCAGCCATCATCTCTCTTCCCCCAGTGAGCCTGGAAGAAGAACAGAGGTACACCTCAAATCAGAATCCCTCTTAGCTGATATGTGTCAGAACCCACAGCCAACAATGAAGTACACACATTCAGGAACGGTTATACTTTTATTGCAGAGCTATAGATGCAGTAACATAGGCACTGTTAAGAATGGTGGTGGCCCCATGGGCATAATAGGATATAGGGGATTCGTATGCACACACACCCCCACAACACTGGTCAATTAGGCCCCCTCCCGTGCGTGGGACAAGGTTTGGAGACCGTTAGGTAGCTGAAGCTGAGAACGAACACTCTCCCACGGCACCTAGGGCAATCCCAGACACCACAACACCCTCCTGCACATCTGTATAGATAAGCGTTTCGGTGCACAGTAGAGAAAGCACAGAAAGGAATGCAGTAGCAATTAACCCGAAAGGAAAGCAATTAACCAGACACAGACCAAACTCCCCAACTTTCATGGCAGCATTGCTGACGATATGTAGATATGTGGCTCTATCTTTAAAATGTGGTTCATGGATATGTTATGGGGAAGGGAGACACAGAATACCCAGCCTATATTTATTTATTTATTTGTTGCATTTATATCCTGCCCATCCCGTAAACCGGCTCAGGGCGGGGTCACAACATTTCGATAAATACAAAAAAAATTAAAACATATGAAAACATATAAAATCGATAGTCATGCTTGCCATAGGGAGAATCCGGCCCATTGATGTAACTAGGTATGGCCGCCCTGAGCCCATTCGCGGGGAGGGCGGGGTAGAAATATAATAATAAAATAAATAAATAAATATCAGTAGGTGGCAGACCGCAACCTGGGGGGGGGTATGTGGAAGCCCGCTGCCTCAGCCAAAGGCCTGGGGGAAGAGCTCCGTCTTGCAGGCCCTGCGGAATTGAGTAAGATCCTGCAGGGCCCTGATCTCAATAGGGAGCACGTTCCACCAGGTGGGGGCCAGGGCAGAAAAGGCCCTGGTCGAGGCTAGGCGGATGTCCTTTGGGCCAGGCATCACCAGGAGATGTTGACTCTCAGAGCGTGAAGCTCTCCGAGGCGTATATGGGAAGAGGCGGTCCCTTAGGTATGTTGGTCCCAGGCCGTATAAGGCTTTGAAGGTAATTACCAACACCTTGAAGCAGATCCGGAACTCAACTGGCAGCCAATGCAGGTGACAGAGCACATCAGGAGGTCCAGCAGTGGGGCCAGGACACCAGAAGCCCTCCCACTGTTGACCCCCCCAAGCACCAAGAAAACAGAGCATCACTTGCCCCAGACTGAGAGTTCCTATCTATCCCTTGTGGCTAATAGCCACTGATGGACCTCTGCTCCATATGTTTATCCAGTTCCCTCTTGAAGCCGTCCATGCTTGTGGCAGTGAATTCCGTGTGTTAATCGCTCTAAAAATACTGGTTAAATGTAAATCATATACCCACCAAAGCAATCAAATAGCAAACGCAAGGCCACAGAGAAACAGAGGACCTTACAGACACAGAGGGAGAGACAGGGTGATATTTACCATCCACGTGTGGAGAAGTCCACGGAAGAGAGATTGTGAACAACCAGCATATCACAAACAAAAGGGGACTAAAACTGTGAGCTTGGGAGTGCTACTCTGTTAGGCGCCCTAGAGTGACACTACAGAGCTGTGGCTGAGCAGCTGTTTTATAGACTAGAGACGGCGTCCTGCGGGGCAGGGCTACGGGTCTGAACAAAGGACTGAGAGGTTTCCCAAACTTTGATCAGAAAGGTGTGATGGCACCCTAGTGGGCATATCCTAGAGTGTGCCCGTAGGATGGATGGCTGATACGATCTTCAAAGTTAAATATGTTTCTGGTAACCCAGAGAATAGTCCCAGAAGAGGATCGTAAATCTCCTTTCCGGAGAAATGTTTTACACTTTAAAGGAAGTTTGGCCCGGGAAAGAGGCCATGAAGGACGGAGTAGGTGTTTTGCATAGAAAGGTCACTAAAGATGATTTACACATCAAAGAGACAAAGGGGCTTTCAGAGGAAGAAGATTTCCATATTGGGACATGCTGGAATGGTGAGAACTCTGATACTTATGGGGGGGGGAAGCCAATTGCATGTAGAAAAGATAGATGCTCTGTTTTCACAACCTCCAGGTCTTTGGCAAGCTCTCATGATCATAAGTGTGTCCAGGACTACCCACAGACTCAGGAACGGTGCTTTTGGGGGGATCCTGCGGTAGTTTAGAGGTTAGGGTGCCTGTAAATGTCAGTTTACAGGCACCCTAACCTCTAAACAGGGTTTCTAGTTCAGGTCAGAAGTGGCGTGCACCACTAGTTAGGACTACCCATGAGTAAGGCAGCACCTCTGGGCTACATCAGCTCTTGTGGACCCTTCTTATGTGCCCAAGGTAATGCCAATCACCACTTTGGAGTCAGGAAGGAATTCTCTGCCAGGCCAGATTGGCCCAGGCATCCTGGAGGTTGTATACTCTGCATCAGGCTTCCCTCTGATGCAGGGTATACCAGTGGGATCACACTATATGCACGTTATTATTATTTTTTTAAGCCAAGTATATTTTAAAAATGCAATAATATGTCAAAAGTAAACCCTTGGGGACTTGGTCTGCTCTCTCACACAAATGCCTACACAACTTGGGCTCCATGTCTATCTGCATATGTATTTGGGGACTTTCTGCATGCCTCCATTCAGTGAGCAAACCTGCCAACAGAAATTCATAAAAACAAACCAGATAGAAAGAAGAAGAAGAAGTGGTGGTGGAAGAAGAAGGAGAAAGAGAAGAGGAAGAAGAAGAAGAAGAAGAAGAAGAAGAAGAAGAAGAAGAAGAAGAAGAAGAAGAAGAAGAAGAAGAATCAACATTACCAAAAGCAGATTTAAAAACCCAGAGGTAATCCTGGCTCCAGTCTTTCTGGAACTGAGACATTTTCTACAAGCACTCGAAGACAGGTCAGGAGAGGTACCGAAACCTCTTGTGGAAGAAAGTCCCATAGTTTAGGAGCAGCTGCTAGGAAGGCCCCACATGAGTTGCCCCCCCCAACACACCTTTGATGATGTAGGTCCCTGTTTCAGAGCCCCAGTGGCTGATCTCGGAGCGCAGGCATGTGGATCAGGACCTTCAAGTACCACGGAGAACCCGAACCGTGAAGGACTTTGGAGTGTTTGTGGTTGGTCTCGAAAGCAATGCTCTCAGCGCACTCACGGAAAGGCCTTTTCTGGAAATGGTAGAGAGTTTCCAGTCACCTCCGCTTACTTATTAACCCAGGTGTGTTTATACTGCTGCAATTCCGTGGGCAAACGTTAGTTATGTTAGTTCAGGCTCCTTACAGAGAAGGAAAAACAAGTGGAGACCAGTGTTCCCTCTAAGCTGAGTGAGTGTGAGCTGCCTCACAGTTTTTTAGCCTCCAGCTGACACATTTTTGCCTTAGCTCAGGAAGGAGGGCTCCAGAGCAAACCCATTTATGCAGTAGCCCAGTCGCTCGCTCACAACTTTAATGCCAGTAGCTCACAAAGTAGAATTTCTGCTCACAAGACTCCACATCTTAGAGGGGGCATTGGTGGAGGTGGGATTCTATTGAACCAAGCCAAGAAGGTGGAGTCCAGGAATAAAGAGAGGCACTGCAGTCGGCAGTCCGTTCTAGGAATTAGGAAGAACTTTTGATGGAGGATGTCTATCAGTGGCTACTAGCTATGGTGACTGAGGGGAACCTCCACATTCAGAGACACTAAGCCTCTGAATACCCATGCCAGGAGGCAACATCAGGGGAAGGCCTTCGCCTCTATGCCCTGTTATTGACCATCCAGAGGAACTGGTTGAGGCCACTGTGTGAGACAGGATGCTGGACTAGATGGACCACTGGTCTGATCCAGCAGGGCTCTTCTTACACTCTTATGTGGGGAAGGCCTTGGCCTCCACATCCCATTGTTGGCCTCCAGCGGAACTGGTTGAGGCCACTGTGTGAGACGGGATGCTGGTCTAGATGGACCCTCACTGGTCTGATCCAGCAGGGATCTTCTTATGTCTGGAGATTAGTTATAATTCCGGGAGAACTCCAGGTCCCACCTGGAGGGTTGCAACTTCAAGTGGCACTGAGGCAGCAGAACCCTGAGGGGTTTACAATGGACCACTCCACTTCAAATTGCAGGGAATGAATTCCAGATACGAATGTTCTTTCACATAGCCCTTGTTAAATAGTGGGTTCCATGGATGAACAGGCTCAAGTCTAGTGATCAGCTCAACTTTATTTGTGATTTCAGCAAGAGCAAGACAAAGTCCCCAGAGCTTCAGCTCTGTTAAATAGCATGCAATTGCTGCACTAAACTTCTGAATCCCTGAGCCAGGAGGCAATGTCAGAGAAGGCCTTGGCCTCCATACCTTGTTATTGGCCATCCAGAGGAACTGGTTGAGGCCACTGTGTGAGACAGGAGGCTGGACTAGATGGACTCTCACTGGTCTGACCCAGCAGGGCTCTTCTGATGTTCTTATGAGGGGAAGGCCTTGGCCTCCATGCCCTGTTATTGGCCATCCAGAGGAACTGGTTGAGGCCACTGTATGAGACAGGAGGCTGGACTAGATGGACCCTCACTGGTCTGACCCAGCAGGGCTCTTCTGATGTTCTTATGAAGGGAAGGCCTTGGCCTCCATGCCCTGTTATTGGCCATCCAGAGGAACTGGTTGAGGCCACTGTGTGAGACAGGATGCTGGACTAGATGGACCCTCACTGGTCTGATCCAGCAGGGCTCTTCTTACGTTCTCATGAGGGGAAGGCCTCGGCCTCTATGCCCTGTTGATGGCCCTCCAGAGGAACTGTTTGGCCACTGTGAGAGGCAGGGTGCTCACTAGATGGACCACTGGTCTGGTCCAGCAGGACTCCTCTTATGTTCTTATGATGGGAAGGCCTTGGCCTCTCTGCCCTGTTGTTGTCCTTCCAGGGGAATTTTTTGGCCACTGTGTGAGAGAGGATGCTGGACCAGATGGACCATTGGTCTGATCCAGCCTGGCTCTTATGTTCTTATGTTCTTGACAGTTAGGGTGGTTCCTCAGTGGAACAGACTACCTAGGGAGATTGTCAGTTTTTCTTTGGAGGTTGTTATGCAGAGATTAGATGGCCATCCTGCAGCAATGTTGATTCTAAGACTCACTATGAATTTAGGCAGATCATGAGGACAGGAATGGATAAGCCAATGCTCAGTGTTACTGCCAATGGCCTGCCTCGTTGTTGGGGAAAATTAGCTAGTTGGCAGGGGAGACCAGAGTGGTACCAGGGATTGCACACCTGTATATACCAAGGTCCGGTACAGTAGGAAGACTCCAGATTTATAGAGTAAATTAAATAGTTTTTATTGAGGAATTTCCCTAATTACAAGCGCACTAAGCAATCAAAAAAGAGCACACAATTCAGAACTGAGAAAACATAGGTGATGATAGCAAATAGTAGGGTCAGTTGTGGGGGTTATAATACCTGTTCAGATGTGCAGAGGTCCATGGAGAAGAGATTATGACCCAAACAAAGTTTGGGGGTAAACTGCCAGTTGGCATCCAGAGCAGACACACATTCGCGCGATGTGCTTGGATGGATAGAGGCACTGGAGAACAATGAGAACCAATGGGAGGCCTTGAGGGGCTTGTCTCAGGGGAAAACAAAATTTTACGTGGACCAATAAAGGGTCCCAGGGGGTGTGACACCAGGAGGAGCAAAACTTAGGTATGACCAATGGGGTCCCAGGGGGGCAGACTCTGGATTCATAACAGCGTTGATGGGATTAGCCAGGCACTGGATGGCTCTACTGGAGCTGGCTGAATGGGTTTGATGACCACTGATGGTCCTGCCGAGGCAGGTTGAGTAAGTTCCCAGGTTTAGACAAAAGCTGGAAAATGGGTCCCTGCTTGGTGTCAAGAAGGATCATTAATAATTTGAATGTTTCATTGGTTTATCTCGGTCTCCCGAGGGATGGAGCAGGAAGGACAGTTGTGGAGACAAAGGATTTCCACATAGACAGGTAACACACAAAAGGGCTGCATGAGGTTCTGGATACAGAAGGGCCATTTGCCAGGTGGCCACTGAATAGATACTTTACCTGGAGGAATCCGTTGTTATTCCATATGCATACTTCTGCTGAGTGGAGGGGGAGATTGGAGATTGTCTTGGAGGGCTGCCTTGTGCAACCAGAAAATGAAAACCCTCTTGCAGAGCTGAGGCTAGCTCTGTGTTTCAGGCCAAGAGTGCCTTCCTTGGCCTGAGTTTGTGGGTTTCTAGTTCAGGTCAGAAGTGGCGTGCACCACTATTTAGGACTACCCATGAGTAAGGCAGCACCTCTGGGCTACATCAGCTCTTGTGGACCCTTCTTATATGCCCAAGGTAATGCCAATCACCACTTTGGAGTCAGGAAGGAATTCTCTGCCAGGCCAGATTGGCCCAGGCATCCTGGAGGTTGTTTTGCACTCCTCTGGGCATAGAAAAAGAGTCACTGGAGGAGTCAGGGGGGGATATATGAGGAGGAGGAGGAGGAGGAGTGGTTTTATACCCCACCCTACACTATCCAAAGGAGTCTCGAAGCAGCTTACAATTGCCTTCTCTTCCTCTCCCCACAGCAGACATCCCATGAGGTAGGTGGAGCTGAGAGAACTGTGACTGACCCAAGGTCACCCAGCTGGCTGTATGTGGAGGAGTGGGGAATAAGAACGTAAGATCATAAGAGAAGCCAAGGTTGGATCCGGCCAGTGGCCCATCCAGTCCAACACTCTGTGTCACACAGTGGCCAGAAATACCAGGTTCCATCAGGAGGTCCACCAGTGGGGCCAGGACATTACAAGCCCTCCCACTGTTGCCCCCCCCCAAGCACCAAGAAGACAGAGCATCACTTGCCCCAGAGCCCCTATCTATACCTTGTGGCTAATAGCCACTGATGGACCTCTGCTCCATATGCTTATCTAATTCCCCTTTGAAGCCGTCCATGCTTGTAGCCGCCGCCACTTCCTGTGGCAGTGAATTCCATGTGTTAATCACTCTTTGGGTGAAGAAGTACTTCCTTTGATCCATTCCAACCCGACCTCTCAGCAATTTCATTGAGTGCCCATGAGTTCTTGTATTGTGAGAAAGGGAGAAAAGTACCTCTTTCTCTACCTGCTCTTTCCCATGCATAATCTTATAAACCTCTATCATGTCACCCCTCAGCCGTCGTTTCTCCAAGCTAAAGAGCCCCAAGCACCTTAACCTTTCCTCATAGGGAAAGTGTTCCAACCCTTTTATCATTCAAGTTGCCCTTTTCTGCACTTTTTCCAAAGCTATAATATCCTTTTTAAGGTGTGGTGACCAGAACTGCACACAGTATTCCAAATGAGGTCTCACCATTGATTTATATAGGGGCATTATGATATTGGCTGATCTGTTTACAATACCCTTCCTAATAATCCCCAGCATAGCATTGGCCTTCTTTATTGCAGTCACACACTGTCTCAACATTTTCAGTGAGTTATCCACTACAACTCCAAGATCTCTCTCTTGATCAGTCTCTGCCAGTTCAGACCCCATCAATGTGTATTTATATTTAGGATTTTTAGCTCCAATGTGCATCACCTTGCACTTGGCCACATTGAACCCCATTTGCCATGTTGACGCCCACTCGCCCATCCTTGACAGATCCCCTTGGAGTGCCTCACAATCCTCACTGGTTTTCACCACCCTGAACAACTTTGTATCATCCGCAAATTTAGCCACTTCACTGCTTACTCCCATCTCCAAATCATTAATGAACAAGTTAAAAAGCAGTGGACCAAGTACTGATCCCTGCGGTACCCCACTGCTTACCCCCCTCCACTGAGAGAACTGCCCATTTATACTCACTCTCTGTTTTCTATTAATTAGCCAGTTTTTGATCCATAAAAGGACTTGTCCTTTTATCCCATGATTTTTGAGCTTGCTTAGGAGCCTTTGATGAGGAACTTTATCAAAAGCTTTCTGGAAGTCAAGGTAAACAACATCTATTGGGTCCCCCTTGTCCACATGTTTGATCACCCCCTCAAACAACACTAACAGGTTAGTGAGACAGGATCTTCCCTTACAGAACCCATGCGGAGTCTGCCTCAATAGGTTTTGTTCATCAATGTGCTTACTAATTCTTTCCTCAATAACAGTTTTCACCAATTTACCCGATATCGACATCAGACTGACTGGCCTGTAATTTCCCGGATCTCCTCTGGAACTCTTTTTAAAGATGGGAGTGACATTAGCTACCTTCCAGTCCTCAGGAATGGAGGCTGATTTTAAGGAGAGATTACATATTTTTGTCAGGAGATCCACAAGTTCACAATTGAGTTCTTTCAGAACTCTCGGATGTATGCCATCTGGGCCTGGTGATTTATCAGTTTTTGAGTTGTCTATCAGTTTTAGGACCTCCTCTCTCGTCACCTCAATCTGACTCAGGTCTTTCAACACCCCTCCCGAACTCAGCGGTTCTGGAGTGGGCAAGCACTTCTCATCTTCCACAGTGAAGACGGAGGCAAAAAATGCATTTAACTTCTCAGCCATTTCCCTATCATCCTTCAGTACTCCTTTTACCCCTTCGTCATCCAAGGGCCCCACTGCCTCCCTGGCTGGTTTCCTGCTCCTAATGTATTTGAAGAAAGTTTTATTGTTGGTTTTTTCTCTTTTTTTTCTATATGCTCCTCATATTCTCTTTTTGCCTGCCTGACCACAGACTTGCATTTTATTTGCCACAGCCTGTGTTCTCTTTTATCATCCTCTCTGAGACTAGCTTTCCACCACTTATAGGAATCACACGCTGTTCTCCGAGATTAGAGTATGCCGCTCTTAACCACTATACCGCACTGGCTCTCATTGTGCAAAGGACTGGACTAGATGACCCTTGGGGTCGCTTCCACTGTTTCCTCTAATCTGAGTTAGTGTGAGCTAGCTCACAGTTTTTTAGCCTCTGGCTCACACATTTTTGTCTTTGCTCAGGAAGGATGGCTCCAGAGCAAACTATCTTATGCAGCAGCCAAATCACTTGCTCACAACTTTAATGCCAGTAGTTCACAAAGAAGAATTTTTGCTCACAAGACTCTACAGCTTAGAAGGAGCGGTGTGTGTGTGTGTGTGTGTGTGTGTGTGTGTGTGTGTGTGTGTGTGTGTGAAGTGTTGTCAAGTTGTTTCCGACTTATGGCAACCCTTCCAAAAGGTCCTATCGTTAACAGTTTTGCTTGGGTCTTGCAAACTGAGGGCCATGGCTTTCTTGGTGAAATCAATCCATCTCATCTTGTGTCTTCCTCTTTTCCTGCTTCCTTCAACTTTCCCTAGCATTATTGTCTTTTCCAGTTAGTCTCATCTTCTCATAGAGAGCCACTTTGGTGCAGTGGTTAAGTGCACGGGCTCTAATCTGGGAGAACCGGGTTTGATTCCCCACTCCTCCACTTGCACCTGACTGGATGACCTTGGGCAAGCTGATAAGAGCTGTTCTTGAAAAAGAGCAGTTTCTGTCAAGAGCTCTCTCAGCCCCACCTGCCTCACAGGCAGTGTTCCCTCTAAGCTGAGTTAGTGTGAGCTAGCTCACAGTTTTTTAGACTTCAGCTCACAGATTTCTTTGTCTTAGCTCAGGAAGGATGGCTCCAGAGCAAACTAATTTATCCAGGAGCCAAATCGCTCACTCACGACTTTCATGCCAGCAGCTCACAAAGTAGAATTTTTGCTCACAAGACTCCACAGCTTAGAGGGAGCATTGGTCGCTTCCAGCTGTATGTTTCTGTTTCTCAGCTAATGACCATGAACACATCTGGTGACAGAGAGTTCCACAAGTTAATCCACCTGCTACACTACTGGCTTTTGTCAGCCCAGCTTCATCGTTCTCTTTCTAGTGAAACAAGAAGGAGCGGGGGACCTTCTCCAAGGCTGAGTAGAACTAAAGAACCAAATGAAGGAGTGAGAAAGGTTGTCAGGGGAGCCAAGGACAAAATGTGCCTTTTGAAAGGGCACAGTCTTTTCTTCTTTCCAATGCTAATAGCAAAGCCAAGGAGTCCTGTTTGGAATAGCAAAGCGGAGCAGAAATGGAAGAGCTACGGCCACTCTCTTCCCTGCAGGGTAGAGCCCAAAACTAGCCAATTTTGTACCCGAGGCAAAAATATAAATATAAAATTGTGCTTCCTATACTTTCATAGTAGTTATTTTGATTAAAAGGGAAATACATAAAAAATAGGCATGATAACAACACAATGTTTATTTTAGTCACGATATACTTTTTCTGCACCCCTGAGTGTCGTGCGCCCGAGGCGAGTACCTCGCTTGCCTTGCCCTTGTTACAGCTCTGCTGCAGAGCCCAAGGCAAATTGAGGCTGCATCAGCCACAATTTGTATGTTATGGAAGAAGAAGAAGAGATTGGATTTATACCCCGCCCTTCACTACCCAAAGGTGTCTCAGAGCGGCTTACAAACTCCTTTCCCTTCCCCTCCCCACAACCCTGGGAGGTAGGTGGGGCTGAGAGAGCTCTTGACAGAAACTGCTCTTTTTCAAGAACAGCTCTTATCAGAACTACGGCTTGCCCAAGATCATCCAGCCAGGTGCAAGTGGAGGAGTGGGGAATCAAACCCGGTTCTCCCAGATTAGAGTCCGCGCACTTAACCACGACATCAAACTGGCTCTCTTGTATGACTTGTATGAGCGATCTTAATCTCATCGGTCTGAGCTCAGAGTCTCTCTCTCTCTCTGATGCAAAGTGTGGGCAGATTCACTGCTTCTCATGACGATATGAATGTGGACGTACACATGAACGTACGTGAAGCTGCCAATTTGGTGTAACCAGTTTGGTGTAGCGGTTAAGATCGGCGGACTCTGGTCTGGGAGGACGAGGTGTGATTTCCCCACTGCTCCCCTTGCAACGAGCGGGGTGACCTTGGGTCAGTCACAGTTCTCTCGGAGCTGTTCTCTCAGGAGCAGTTCTCAAAGAGCTCTCTCAGCCCCACCTACCTCACAGGGTGTCTGTTGTGGGGAGAGGAAGGGAAGGAGATTGTAAGCGGCTCTGAGACTCCGAGTGAAGGGCGGGGTATAAATCCAATCTCCTCCTCCTCTTCTTCCTCTTCTTCTTCTTCTTTTGCCTTATACCGAATCAGACCCCTGGTCTATCAAGGTCGGTATTGCCCGCTCTGACTGGCAGCGGCTCTCCAGGGTCTCCAGCAGAGGTCTTTCTCATCTCCTACTACCTGGTCCTTTACCTGGAGATGCCACGGATTGAACCTTGGACCCTCTGCATGCCAAGCAGATGCTCTGTCTCTGAGCCACAGCCCCGGCTCTATCAGAAAAGCAAACCGTGGCATTGCACTTCTTTTCCCTCCCCCAAGCCGTTTCCTTTCCCTTAGAAATCCACCCCCCCACACTGCTTTAAATCAGGAAAGGGGAAATGAGTAGTACTTCCCCCACACACAAATGGAGAATTACAGCCAGGGGCAGTACTTTGGATTCAGGAACCTGTGAAGCAGGGAAGAGCTAAACAGGGAAGAGAGCCAGTTTGGTGTAGTGGTTAAGTGCGCGGACTCTAATCTGGGAGACCTGAGTTTGATTCCCCACTCCTCCACTTGCACCTGGCTGGATGACCTTGGGCAAGCCGTAGCTCTGATAAGAGCTGTCCTTGAAAAAGAGCAGTTTCTGTCAAGAGCTCTCTCAGCCCCGCCCGCCTCACAGGGTGTCTGTTGTGGGGAGGGGAAGGGGAAGGAGTTTGTAAGCCGCTCTGAGACTCCTCTGGGTAGTGAAGGGCGGGGTGTAAATCCAATCTCTTCTTCTTCTTCTTCTTCTTCTTCTTCTTCTTCTTCTTCTTCTTCTTCTTCTTCTTCTTCTTCTTCTTCTTCTCTTTTCCCCATCACCACGGGCAGCATCCAGATTGCCCTCTCCCTGCAGCTACATTTTAAAGGGCCAAATTGCACGTCTCGAGTTCTAATCGCGGGACTCCAGTCCTGTATGTTTGGGCCCAGAAGTTTAGAACATTTCTGAGACGCGACAGCAAATAAAAAAGTTGTCGGGGAGAACGTGCCAATAAACAGTCTGGGATGGGGTTGCCAACCTCCAGGTGAGGCCTGGGGAGCTCCTGAAATGACGACTGATCTCCAGATGACAGGGATCAATTCCCCTGGGGGAAATGGCTGCTTCAGATGGTGGGCTCTGTGGCATTAGACCCCGCTGAAGCCTCCCCTGCCCAAACCCCACCTTCCCCAGGCTCCACGCCCTTCATCTCCAGGAATTTCCCGACCCAGAGATGGCAACCCCAGTCTGGAAGCATTAGCTATCCCTCATTCACTTCAAACTAACCATTCCTGGGAAAGGGTTCCATAACCAAGGATAATCTTGCTTGGGGGCGCATTTACGGTTGCCAGCCTCCCCACGGGGCCTGGAGATCTCCCCGAATTATAACGGATCTCCAGACATCAGTCAGTCCCCCTGGAGAAAATGGCTGCTTTGGAGGGTGGACTCTGTGGCGTTAGACTCTGCCGACCTCCCATTCCTGCCCAGACCCCGCCCTCCCCAGGCCTCGCCCCCCAAATCTCCAGGAATCTTCCAACCCGGAGTTGGCAACACCGGTTGCATTCAAGACAACAACCCCTTGCCTCCTGACATTTGCTCCCTTGTGCCTCGGAGTGACCAGCCACAGCCGAGGGGCACACAGAAGGAATCACCGGCTTCACCCCTGTGCCGAGACAGCCCTGTGCGAACACTACGAAAATTCGGGCTTGGAAACTCCCGGATGAGCAGCTGGCTGCTGCCACCCTGGTGTGCCTGCGGAGAGAGTCACAGCAGACAAGCCATGGGGTTGTCAGGTTCAAGAAACAGAGGGGGGGGAATCAGCCCCAAATTGATCCCAAATGTGCCCCCCCCCCCGCTCATTAGCCCTTCCTCATCAGCCATAGGCGAGGAGGTTCGCAGAGGCGACGGGGTGTGGGAAATCAGCGTTTACCTGTCGGAGCCGGTTCCGGGCTCCCGAAGGCCGTCCTCTTTGTGCGTTTTCCAAGGACAGCCCAGAGCCGCCCTTCCGATTTCCAGGGAGAAAGTCCAGATGCTCCGAGTAATTCGCTTAACTCCACGCCGGGACGGCAGTTATCCCTCCCGAGCAGGCCTGGACTGGAAATGCGATGCAGGTCGCAGTGCCGTCCACAAAAGCAACAGGAAATCCAGCCTTTCCTGTTCCGATGCCCAATATGGATGAATGGATTTCTTTTCCTGGTCTCTTCTCGCTTTGTTCTAGGAGTTCACTTCGGGTTCAGGCCATTCTCCCCGATGCTGGCTAAACACAGGGACGAAAACAAACAAGCTATTGATGATTTTTTTTGCAAAAACTGCCTTATAACCAAGCCAAATCACGGAGCCAGTGAGCTCGGCATTGTCTACTCTGGCTGGCAGCTGTTCTCCAGGGTTCCTGGCAGAGAAAGGTCATTGCCGACACCTGCTAGTTGTGATCTTTTAACCGGAGATGATGTGGACCGAGCTTGGGACCATCTGTGCCCGAAAATAGGTGCTCTGTCACTCAGCGGCCTGGTTAAGAGGTATTCTCTGTACCCAGTTTCTCCCTGGAACCCAACCATCTGCCCGAAGTAGTCAGGAAAGCTTCCAGTCTCCTGGCTTTCCGTGTACTACAAAAAACCAAACTATTTGAGGGGGCTCTTCTGCACAGGGAATTCGGTTGTGTTGCACAAAACCTTGCTCAGATAAAGGATTGGGGACTGTGGTCTAGACGGCTATGTACAGCTCAGGCCCACAGCGACAGCGGGGCACTTGGGGACCCCGCCCCCTTAACTAAAAGCCCCGCCCCCTCAAATAGCCATGCCAGAAACCTTATTTGGGGGGATTGCATTTTTTATATATGTGCATGTGTGTTTGTGTAGAAACCTTCTTTTTGAAGAGAGACATCCCATCTACAGCGGGGCACTTGGGGACCCCGCCCCCTTAACTAAAAGCCCCGCCCCCTCAAATAGCCATGCCAGAAACCTTATTTGGGGGGATTGCATTTTTTATATATGTGCATGTGTGTTTGTGTAGTAACCTTCTTTTTGAAGAGAGACATCCCATCTACAGCGGGGCACTTGGGGACCCCGCCCCCTTAACTAAAAGCCCCGCCCCCTCAAATAGCCATGCCAGAAACCTTATTTGGGGGGATTGCATTTTTTATATATGTGCATGTGTGTTTGTGTAGTAACCTTCTTTTTGAAGAGAGACATCCCATCTACAGCGGGGCACTTGGGGACCCCGCCCCCTTAACTAAAAGCCCCGCCCCCTCAAATAGCCATGCCAGAAACCTTATTTGGGGGGGATTGTATTTTTTTTTATATGTGCATGTGCGTTTGTGTAGAAACCTTCTTTTTGAAGAGAGACATCCCACGCAGGCAGCGGCACTGCGGCTTGTCCTCGGGCTTCCCTTTCCCTCCCACTGTGGAATTCTTGGAGGGCATCATGGGACGTGGGGAAAGATAACTTAGAAGGCATTGGAATCAGGGGAGATACCAACCCAAGACTCTTCACCCCCACACTGGCTCTCCCAGATTGTGTTTTTGCTTTCCCTCATGTAAAGATACTGGGCATTTATGGTGGTGGTGGTGGTGGTGGGAAGTGCCATCAAGTCTCAGCTAACTTATGGAGGGCCTGCAGGGTTTTCACGGCAAGAGATGTTCAAAGGTGGCCTTGTCATTGCCTGCCCCCGCCTCCCGACTGCTGGTATCCCTTGGAGGTCTCCCATCCAAGTACTCACCAGGGACGACCCTGCTTAGCTTCCAAGATCTGACAAAACCGGGCTAGCCTGGGCCATCCAGGTCAGAGCATTGAACTTCTCTCTCTAATTTAAAGCGAATGGATCATTTCAGCCAATGACCGTTCAAAACAGCGATCTGGCTCGCCGATGACATCATACAGAAGAAGGTGTGTTTAAGCCCTGATGAATCTCATTGAACCTACTGAATGATATCGACTGAGCCGTTTCACACAGGAGCCTCCTTTTGACATCCCTTTCTCGAAGAACAAGGGCTTCCCGGTAAGCAACCGAGAGTCTCCCAGGAGGGTGAAATGTTCCCCTGCGGGTCGATTTGTTTGTCCAGCTGGTGCCCCTTTGTTCTTTTGTGTGGAGACAATCCAGTTTGCTTTGAATGGCTCAGTCCAGAGAGCAGCAAAACCAGGATTTCATGAAACTAGGGTGTGACTGCCCAAACATAGGTAAAGGTAAAGGTAAAGGTTCCCTTGCTCGAAAGCCAGTCGAATCTGACTCTAGGGTTGCGGTGCTCATCTCCGTTTCAAAGCCGAAGAGCCAGCGCTGTCCGAAGACGTTTCCGTGGTCATGTGGCTGGCTTGACTAAACACCAAGGCGCACGGAACGCTGTTCCCTTCCCACCGAAGTGGTACCTATTTATCTAATTGCAATTTCTTGCTTTTGAACTGCTAGGTTGGCAGGAGCTGGAACTAGAAATGGGAGCTCACTCCATCATGCGGCACCCTGGTCTCGAACTGCTGAACTACTGAACTTCCACAGCCTGCAGTTCAGCATCTTAACCACTTGAGCCACCGCAGCTCCAAACATAGACCCCCTTGGCTAATTGTGGTTTTGTTCAGATCGATCATACCAGCATCTTCAGGGGAACTGATCTCTGTAGTCGGGAGATCTCTTGTAATTATGGGAGATCCCCAGGCCAACAGCCCTAGAACAAGGGTGGAGTTTGTTAAGTCGCTCGCTTAACAAAGTAGTCGGAGAGTGATTCAGCAAAGATTACGCTTGATTCAACAACTCGAACACAACTCCAACACGGATCAACATCTGATAGCCAGAACAGCTTTAGCATTAAAGCTGTTCCCTTTTTAAACTCTCCCGGCTAATGTAGCCACGCCTTACTGTACATTACCAACCAATGAGATTGTTTACATAAGGACCAATCATTGACGTTCCCGCTCAGGGAGCTTGCTGACAAGTGATTGGTCGGTTCTTCCTGGGCTAGCATTGCGATTGGATGGATTTGGATCCTAGCCCAGGACGAAGCTTTACATGACACTTCAACGAGGTGATTCACATACACCTTATGCATTCAATGGCAGCTATTGAATACATTACAGTGTTAGAAAGTGCCATCAAGTCAAAGTCGACTTATAGTGATCCCATAGGGTTTTCAAGGCAAGAGAGAGATGTTCAGACGTGGTTTGGCCCTTGCCTGCCTCTGTGTAGCGATCCTGGATTACCTTGGTGGTCTCCCATCCAAAGACTAACAAAGGCATCTATATTTATAATATGGTGTTTACTTCCGGGTGGTTTTGTTGGTGGGGGGGGGGGGTTTGCTGTTGTTGTTTGCAACACATTGTATTTTTAAGATGTAATATTTTAAACCAGCAAAAAAAAAGCACCCTGGATTAAGGGAGAGGCTGTCCAGAAGAGGTACATTTCCTGGGATTCTCTGAGGATTTTATTTGTAAATGGTGGCAGCCATGTCAGGTTTGCTTAGAGCCTTCGGCCTCTTGCTGCCATCTAGTGGTTGCTATTGCTCAACGCAGGCGTTCGAAACGGTTGTTAAAAAATCCTCCTCCTCATTTACAGAGGCCACCAGGAGAAACTTGATACCGGCTCCACCCAGCGCTATTGTCTCTCTTCAAAGGTGCCTGCCTGGCATTCTGCAGACGACAGGAGTCAAGTAACCGACCACAAGATCAGAGCCTAAAATACATTCCCCCCCCCCTCCTCTGCTCACCCCCCCCTTCCAGCCTGCTTAGAGTTCTGAAGACCAGAGGGGGGCCGCGGGGGGCTGTGCCACGTCTTGAGGCTCTCTGCTTCCATCTGGTGGAGAGATCTTAGAACTGCTCGTATTTTACGAAATAGGGGAATTTCCAGGCTTGACCTACATTGGCAAGTATTACCGGCATGTATGAACAATGCGGAGCAAAGAAGTTGTACCACTTTTCTACCTCCACGCTTCGTCGTTGTGGGTAACATGTTTTTGAAAAAAGAGCTCCCACTCTCCAAAGCTGTTTTGTTTGCACCGGTGTGACGTTCACACTGCAGGATTGCCAACTCCAGCTTGGGAACTTGCTAAGGATTTGGGGGCAGTGCCTGGGGAGGCCAGAGACTAAGGAGGGAGCTCAGCGGGGATGTGATGCCCATAATGTTCATCTGGAGGCTGGCAATCCCGCTCTTGGGGTTCAGAGGGCAGGCACATAGGGGGAGGTGTCTGTGAATCTCCTGCATCACGCAGGGGGTTGGACTAGATGACCCTGGAGGTCCCTTCCAACTCTATGATTCTATGATTCTATGACATATTCAGCAGAGTGAGGCTGCCTTACTTACAGTGCTGGACTGACCCCCTAAAATCTCCCTGCGTGGCAAGGAAAGAGATGGCGTCCACGTGTGCTGCTAATTCATCCTGAGCCTTTTGAGCCTGCATTTCTGCCATCAGCTGCGTCTGAAGCAGATTACAGAACTATGCGAAAGTTTAAAGTGTGCCTGCCGGTCAGACCCTCTCCCCAGGCCCCGCAGAAGTGAGGCCGGTGGCGTCTAGAGACAGGCCTTTCCAGTGTTGGCACCTTACTAAAGGGCCATGGCTCAGGGACAGAGCCTCTGCCTCACATGCAGAAGGTCCCAAGCAATGCGCCCTCTAAGCTGTGGAGTCTTGTGAGCAGAAATTCTACTTTGTGAGCTGCTGGCATTAAAGTCATGATGAAGAAGAGGAGGAGGAGGAGGAGGAGATTGTATTTATACCTTGCCCTTCACTACTCAAAGGCTTACAAACTCCTTTCCCTTCCTCCCTCCCACAACAGACACCCTGTGAGGTAGGTGGGGCTGAGAGAGCTCTTTCAAGGACTGCTCTTGAGAGAACTGTGACTGACCTAAGGTCACATCAGCAGCTGCATGTTCGATGCTCCCTCTAAGCTATGGAGTCTTGCGAGCAAAAATTCTACTTTGTGAGCTGCTGGCGTTAAAGTCATGAAGAAGAAGAAGAAGAAGAAGAAGAAGAAGAAGAAGAAGAAGAAGAAGAAGAAGAAGAAGAAGAAGAAGAAGAAGAAGAAGAAGAAGAAGAA